GGGGGGGGGGGTGAAACAACAAGGAGTGTGCGGGCGACACGGTGGGTGCCACTTGCAAGGTGGAAATGAAAGGGATGATCATGCTTTTCGTTAGGCGAGACGGAGGGACCCACATCGCTGATACGGCGGTCAAAGTAGGGGGGAACACGGCATGAGACCCTATAATAATAACAAGGAAAAAAATGTAGGGTGACAAGAGAAGGGGGTGGGGGAGCTGGAAAGCTATTAATTTGAGGGAGAGAGAAAGAGTTTTGACCGTGTGTCCCTGCTGCAGGCACGCACACGGGTGTCGCCCGGCGAGTAGTATCCCTTTAAAATTGGAGTGCCATTATCTCTGGCCGAGTACCCGTGTAAACAACCATGCAGTGGGGCCGGTGGGCGGGCAGGTGAGGTGGCCGTCCGTGTCGCCCGGGCGTGTCGCCGCTCACGTGACTCCAGAGACACTTCATTCTCGCGCTGACAATAACGACTACTCCCCCTTCTACAATCTCTTGCTGAGAGCCGCGCAAAACGGTCCGCCAAACCCTCTCTCTTTCTCTCTCGCGAGCGTCCAGCATCCGACCGACGAGGAATTATCGTCATTACAGTTATTGCATCTCGCAAAACGGCGGCGACCGGCCAGCCGATAAAGAAACCACGGCGAGCAAGACAATACACATGTGGTCATTACATCAAAGCGAGAAAGAGAGGGAGAGAGAGAGAGAGCGGGCGGGAGTAAGAGGTGGGTAGCGGCAGACCAACCTATCATCGGCCTTGACAATAATAAACAAAAACGAGAAAGACGCGGCTAGCCGGGCTGGTGGCTGTGGTGGGCACGCACGAGCGGCCACGGGCGTGATACGCGCGGCCAGCGATACGCGTCGCCCGTCATTACAATAATTAGTGACCCCCGGAGGCCTTCGGGTCGCGTCGCCTCTCGTCGCGAGGAGAGAGAGGGCCCCGCGGCGGGGCTATCGCATCTCAGAGAGAGAAAGAGAGAGAGAGAGAGAGGCGGGCTGACTGTGAGCGCGACAGAGATGGACACGTACTCGTCCACGAGGGTCCCGCGGGACGGGCGGGACAGCCGCGGGTGACATCACCGACGGGAATACATGTAAAGTGTTGGCGACACTGGCCCAGGCCGCCGCCGAGCCCGAGCCCGAGGCCACGACGACGCCAGCCCGCCGGCTTGCCCGCGGCGGTTCCGGGTGACGCCTATCTCACGGGGGGGACCCCGCCGGGGACACACCAGGGGGCATTATCACTCCGCTATGGCGCGTCACTCTCGCTAATTTTGATTGACACTCTGGTGGCCGCCCTTTTCCCGAGGCGAGAGGCGGGCGCGCCTCGGCGGCCGGCCGAGCAGGAAGGAAGGCGACGTTCGATCGGGTCGGGGCGGGCGGGGCGGGTCCGGCGGGCCCCGCGGCGGCCGCGGTGTGACGGTAGGCCCGGCCGCGTCCGGCGGGGGCCGGGGAGAGACAAAGGCCGCCGCGGACGCGTCCCTCGCCGTCCCGTAATGACATGTGCCGGCCGATCGATGCGTTATTACTGGGATGCCTCAGTTGGGCCGCGTCCGGATCGACAGCCTCGCCGCCGCCGCCGCCGCCGCCGCCGCTCGCTCGCTCGCTCGTCGTGACGAAGCACGCGACGACAAAAGGACACTCACACACACACATGCGCGCAGTCCGCCACACACGTTTGACGCGGCGTCACGTCAAAAAGGAATCGACCTTGAGGTCGCGCCGAGAGCGGCTGCTGACAGATCAGGCAGAGCCCGAAGGCGAGGCGTGCGAGCGTGAGTGTCGCAAGCACGAAGGCGATCCGGACCACACCAAGAAGGAAGGGACCCGCCATGCAAGGCGCGGTGGGGCGCGGCGGGGCGGGCCGCGGGGACAAGAGCGTTAATTACCAGCCATGACGCGACACCTCTGCCGCCACCGGGCGGAGCAGTAGAGAGGGGGGGGGGGGGGGAGGGGGGGCGTCGCGCCCGGGTGTCGCGTCCTCGCCGCCGGCATGTATGCATCACACACACACGGGCGGGCGAATCACAGGCACGGGAGGTGCCGCGTCACGGGAGACAGGCCGTCATTATTGTCATTTCCTTATCGCGAGAATTGACAACTAACGCTCTTTTAAGAATGGGGGTTTCGTTCCGCTAAAAAAAAATGATTGGGGCAAAAAAACATATATTGTTATACTTACATTGAGGATGTATCCTCTCGCGTAGTCGTCCTGCGTCCAGCCGAAGCCACGGAGGACCTGCACGACCTGGTCGGGCCTCAGGACGCTGAACAGGCGGTCGAGGAGGATCTTGAGGCGGACGGGGAGCGCATGGCAGCCGTACAGCGCGAGCGAGGCGATGTCGAGCAGGGCGTTGGGCTGCACCGGCTCCACGGGCTCCATGGGGCCCTGGCCGAAGTTCTGCCGGCACCCCAGTTTGTCCAAAGCTGCAAACAAAAATGAAGTGAACGTTAGTCCCTGTCTCTCTCGCACGCACACACATGACATGTCCACAGCTGCCGCGCGGTCCGGACAGCGCGACGTAAAGAAGAACGAGAGGAAGAAAGGGTTGAGAGTGGTTTCCATTACACGAGGGATGTTACAAATTAAGGGGTGGACTCCATGCAGAAAATAAAGGAGTGAATACTGCATGAAGACACGCTGGGGGAGGATGTGTATTATGTAAACAGGCGGCCGGCCAGGGGTCCGGTTTCAGATAAGAGACCCTCGTCACCAACACAACCCTCGGGGCCGTGGCGTGGCGTGCCTAGCACGATGACCCGTGTCCCGCTAAAGCTGCGTTGGCAATTTCGCCAGTTCCACGATTAACAAAATAATTATGAAACAAGAGAAACAAGAATAAAATAAAAATGAGGTGACCACGGCAAGGCCGGGACACATGGGCGTGGCGCGGCGTGCCAGGGGTCTGACCCGGGCGACCAGCCGGATTGGAACGAGAACCACTCACGACGAAAAAGGAGCAAAGGAAAACAAGAAAAAAAAAGAGAAGGGATCAGTTGAATAATAAACAATTTCCTGGGCGACGCCATGACCGAAACGTCGCACGATGTCAAGGGGTTGGGCGTGACATGTCGACACGCCTGGGCAGCAGCGCCTCCTCCTGGGCAGTCAGCCTTCCAGATAATTTCCCTGCCTCCCCCCCCCCCTCTTGTGTGACCCGCTGGGTGAATCATGCAGTACGCATCGCACAGTTTCAGTGACCTCCCCCCCCCTCTCCTCTCCCTCCGGCCATAAGCCTTTGCCAACCCGGCCAGCAGGATTCACACGCCAAACCGGTCTTCCCTGGCGTACCCCAAGGGCCTCACTCCTCCTCCCGGCCACAACGTGATGCACAGCCATTCCCAAATCTCTACCAAAACCGCATCGGGAGGACAAGGCTCGCCGCCGAGGACCACATGTAACGCGGCGACTGGAGCCACGTACTCAATTACTCGGGAGGGGAAAGGGGGGGGGGGAGGCGCCGCACCCTAACCGCACCCGGCCGAAGCGCACTGCGACCAAAACTTTTCTAGGAATCATTCGAAAACGACAGACACAATCACGCACGCTCTCTCTCTCTCTCACACAGTCGCACGTAGGGCATCGCGTGACGCGCCAGGGGCGATAGGATAAAGAGAAACGATTACTTGTCTTGTCGCGGCGGGCCGTGGCGGGGCGGGGCGGGGCGGG